AATCTTAGGCTATCTACTCCGCTTCATTTTGAAGAGCATTCCCTTCAAATTTTTCTTTCAAATTCATATTTCTTCATTATTTCACCCAAAGCTGGAATTAGGTTGAAAAGTGTGCCCCTGTGTGTTCTGACTACAAAGTGTTGTCTTTGTTTCTTCTCCCTCTTTAGTCTTTTTGCATTTCCTCCATGCATTTTCAGGCTTAACAAAGAAACCCACCAGCGTATTTCAACAGCACCTTCGTGTCTGTGGGGCTGTTGTGAAGGCCACCATGGAGATGTGGGTGGAAGGAGAGCAGCAGGTGACAGACAACCCAGTGCAGCCTCTCCACCACCTTGCGAGACAAACTGCACTCGTACCAGGCAGGGAAGAGGGGCAGAGGAGACCGCGGCCTTCTGAGCCTTCTCTGAAAGACTGTGGCAGATGTAACCCATCCTTGCTTGCCAAGTTCTTCATACTAAATACCTTTACTTCAAGGTTTCCCTTCTGACCTTTTAATCAATTGATGTATTTAGCACCTCATTATTCCCCAACAGTGCACACAAGCTCTAACTTCTTCTTGAAAGACATTTAACAGAGAACTTGCACCCAACAGTTAACTCCCTACATTAGTATATTTATAAGAACAAGCGTTAGCTCTTGTTAGGAACTTCCTGTTGATTTTTTTCCCATTGCCTTTTCCTTGCTCTTTCCAGACTTATCTTTAAAATGCCTTGCGAGTGCATTCGCTTCCAGTACAAAGAGTACTACAACCAGGAAACACTGAGATAAACTGCTCCCAGACAGCTCCCCAGGCCTCTAAGCTTCTCAAATRAAACAGAGGGAAACAGAGGAGCCAAAAGAAGCAAAAAACAAATGCAGAAAGGATTAATTTGCTCTATATGTGTAGGGTGATCTTGCAACAGATGCATTTTTTCTTACTGTTTGCCTAAACATCAGCATAACAAGCCAAAAATTAGCTGGAAAAATTAAGTTATCGGAGAAACTGTAACATCCAAGTTCAATGAGAATGCCTATACTGCACTGTGTACCAATCAGAGACATCTTTATTATGTAAAATTGAAGAGTAGAGCCTCTTCTGTGTTCCTGTTGGTGCTCATGGGAGGCTGTTGCCTTGGTGGCATAACACACTGGCATGGCCCTTACTAGAAAACATATGGAAGAAGTAACCTGTTCTTCAGAACTGTGGGAAGGAAATGGCAGATGCCATTAGGAATTCTGCTTTTTGGTCTGTGTTTTTATTACACCACAGTAGAGCTTGTGCTAGGGTATATAGGAACCAGCACATAGAATAGYTTGGATTTAAGAGCCTTAAAGACACCATCAGTAGTGAAGAATCAAACCCTCCTTGGTTTGATTCAAGTAATTACAATCCTACAAATATCTTGAAAACACAAGATAAAAAAGCTGTTCTGCAATTACTGCTAAAAAGCACTGTGCCACTTTCAAAGTGTCAATATTGTTAGATCTAACATATTTTCACTGATCCCTTGAAAGCAGCAGTCGAAACTTGTCTCAAGTACCTCATTGTTTTGAAAGAACTACAAAAATGCCTATGTTTTAACTCAGATTTTATCAGCCCTGAAAATACAGACTCAACTATTGATCTTTTACCCTGAGTTACTTCGAGGGAAGGCATGAAAAAGCCATCTGGATTGATTTAACTTTGGTCTCCAAAAGCAAGTTCTGTATCTGTATACATAATGATATACTTAGGATTATAAAAGGCTACACACTTRAAAAACATTCCTATAACCAAGTGAAAGAAATACTGCTAATGCACAAGTTGCATTAAAGATCAGTAAAACAGAACTGTTTACTTGAAAAATAAAAAGATGTCTAGTAAAGTAAGGTAAATACTTCAGATTTTTTACAATTAGAAGTCTGAAAAGAACAATTTTCCTCCCAAGTGCTGTCAGGCTTTCTCTTAGCTGCATAAAATGCTTGCTGGGGTATAGCTAGATACACAGCTCAAACATGATTTTTTTGGTGATGGAGAGTTTTAGAAAGAAAAACTCAAAATCTATAATGGTATCTTTCCCAAAACAAAACTAGCATGACTCCTTAATTGTGTCATAGATTCAAAATTAGCCTTGAAAGCCTAGGATAACACTGCCACACTATGGCACAATTAAGATCTGCAAGTAAGAATGGAACAAAAAAGCAACACAAATAACTCATCTCCTTTAATTATTTAGAAATGCAGTATCCACCACTAGTTATGTCTGTCTACTACATTCACAAAGGCCTACAATCCAGCTGCTATGTTTTGATTCCTAGCATCTATCCATATCCACGCTATGCTTTAGGATTTTATTTTTGCAAGTTTTTTTTCCTAAAATGAAAAAAGAATGAATTCATTTTCTGTACGTGTTAATACCTTCACAGGAGTTTGACACACCTGTTGTTAGGATGGGATGTGTAGGAAAGTTGATCCCCAAATCGTTTCTTTACTTTGTTGGCTACAAAATATAGAGCTTTTATCCTTTGCATTCCAATGCATCTAAAAGGTTTGTGATTGACAGCTAGTCAAAGGAAAGAAAAGGTTCAAAGACCTCCTCCCTGTATGGCTTTTTCTAAAGCTACTTGAGGCTACACAGTTTTACCATTCACTTGCATCTAACACACTTATTGCTTTTTTACTTCACAACTTAACTCATTTTATATTAGAAGTATTTCAAAATGCTTACACGATGAAAAAGGTAAAATTCTCTTAAATACTGCCAGAAGTGTTGTGAGAGCTTGCGAAAAGTCTTCTTTTTCCTGACCTTGAAGTAGAGCAGCCTAAAACGGCTGAAATTTCACAAGTAACTTCTTAACTACAGCAGTTCACCATGCAAAACATACATTAATTACCTTGCCATTTAGATCATTTATATCTTCCATAGCATTTGTTTTGCAAGAAAACTATAAATCAGTTTTTCAAAACCAATACTAGTAGTGCTTTATTCATTCAAACATTCCATTTTTAAAGTGTTTTTCTAATAAATCAAACATTACACATAAGCAACTGTCTGAGGCCAAGGCCATACCAATTATTTCACCTGCAAGAACTTGCCACTATAAACATTTCCCACAAGGAACAATAAAATACAAGTCTGGTGCCACAAGACGTATATGAGCAACCTGTAGTGAAGCATTAAACAAAGATTAGATGACTAGCTTGAGTTTTATCTGTTCCACCCCTTTCCTAATGGCTATTGTCACAGTTTCAGTTTACAAATAACAGCACAGTGTAGATACACGTCAGCTCCTCCTGACCAGGATTGTTTATTCAAGTTTTTAAAATCACAGTGTTAAGTATCTCTCATCTCCAAATACTTTAAGTCACAGAAAAAAAAAGAAAAAAAAAGAGTGCTTAGGCCACCAGTGAAGAGGATTGTACAGTATCCATATTAAGGCCATGCATATATGCATATATATGTGTATACACAGTGTAACACAACTTATGGTTATCTTCAAGTTATCACACAGCTTCTATAAAAATTCCTCCTGCATTGACTCAAAGCACAAGCCACCCTGTTACGCCTACAATTCTAACTGACAGCAGTCTAGACTTACAAACAGCAAACTATGAACATTACAGTCTTTGACAAAATCACTAATACACAAAATCACACTAATAAATGCAACARCCTCCTCAGGATTCCTGAACCAAGTGGGACGGGGTCAGCCCAACCAAACTCTACACTCAAACTTGGTAGCAAATCTGAAGACTACTATAGCATGAGATTTTTTGCAAGCCCTTTGGGACAGGAGGAATGTAGAAAACTTGAGTTACACTAAATGGATGTGATTTATGGAGAGTGCATTCTTAACAGCTTTACTGTTATTAGTCACACCAGAGTCATGCTGGAAAGCACCAGGATGTTAAAGCAAATCCCAACTGTACAACTCCCCCTCCCGAAAAACCTACAGGAGTCAGTTTAAGAAAGTAGTAGTCCAACCAGAGATTAAGCAGGAGACTTCTGTTAGTCTGTGTGCATTTACTTTAGTTAAAAATCCATTTTCTCTTTCCATGATGAGAGTGGATATATCTTCTTCCATTAGTCATTTAGTCACCATAGATAAGTATTTAGAATTTCACAGCATCACAGAATGGCTGAGGTTGGAAGGGACCCCTAGAGATCATCTAGTCCAACCCCCTGCTCCAGCAGGGACATCCAGAGCACGGAGCACAGGGCAGCATCCATGCGGGTGTGGAAGATCTCCAGAGAAGGAGACTCCACAACCTCCCCAGGCAGCCTGTGCCAGGGCTCTGGCACCCTCACAGTGAATAAGTTTTTCCTCACATGGAGATGGAACTGCCTGTGTTTCAACTTGTACCCCTAATCCTTTTACTGGCCACCACTGAGAAGAGTTTGCCCCAACCTCCCTACATTCTCCTCTCAGGTACATATATATAGTGATCAGATCTCCTCTCAGTTTTCTCCAGGCTAAAGAGGCCCAGCTCGCTTAGTCTTTCCTCTTAAGATAGATGCTCCAGTCCCTTAATCATCTTTGTTGCTCTCTGATGGTTCCTCCCTAGGAGCTCCACATCCCTCCTATACTGGGGAGCCCAGAACTGCACACAGTACTCCAGGTGCGGCCTCACCAGASCTGAGKAGAGGGGCAGAATCACCTCCCTTGACCTGCTGGCAACACTCCTCCTGATGCAGGCCAGGATCCCATTGGCCTTCTTGGCCATGAGGGCACATATTTGATATGTGATATGTGAATTTGATAAATAATACATATTTTCAACTAAGGTTATCAAAATGTAAACTAAAGCTGAATCAGCTATTGAAAAATGCTATTTCTTCCTACTATATCCTTACAGACTCCTTTTCTGCGAAGAATACTGTATTCGATATCAGATTAACTGGAGTTTTGTCACATGGAAAGAATTATGATAAATAGCATCATTAGTGCTGCTGAATTATGTCTTGCTCAGAAGAATCAAAATCACACTCCACTGTCATTCATCAGGCACCCTTTCTAGCAAATGCTGGGCAACTTCATACCTTCCTGAACTTTTCCATCTGCTTAAAGAGRTCGGGATCCAGCTCCTGAGACACATCCTTCATCCAAAGCAGTGCTCCTCTGTACTCAGTCCGATACTGCTCCATTCGGTTTACAGTCAGCCACGTGTCTGAGATGGCCCTGTATCTGAAAGTCTCCACTTCCTGATATAATCTACTCAAAGGAGTACGCAGTGCCAATCTAGGGGAAGGCATGAAGGAATGAAAGGAAGGAGAAGAACAAGTTAAAAAAAAAATCCACAAAGGCAGACAAATGACACAACTACTGCCACTCTGCAAGCAAGCAAAATCAGCAGCAGCACACACCTGAAAGGATTAACTCCATTACTACTATATTTTCTATATAATCCTGCAGCTTCACTGGAGGCACATAAGAACATGTTAATTTTTGCATGCATATTGTGCATGCAACCCTGCAATTTTTCACTATTCCTTTCACATACAATGTTTTTTTTTTACTCAAATATGTATGTATATTGTAGTCAGCTAAAGTGCTTATACGTACGCTATTAAAAGCTCTTTTTGCAAGTTTCACAACTCTAAATATATACTTAAGAACTTATTACTGGATACATAGCACATATGCATCAGGATTGCCATGCTAGGCCTCTAAAAATGCACTACCATTAGCCTTGTAATCTTCAAATGTACATGTAAATTTTGAAGTCATCTGTCAAGCAGATTTTTTTTTTTTAACGCAATCCAAACAATTTTTTATGAAGTCATTTATCTTTTGGAAGATTTTAGCCTTTTTCTTGTGTGTTTGCTCCAGGCACTGCATTTTGGAGAAGCAGTAGGGGACACTGTTGTCTTCCCTACATCCAAAGGAGACAGGATTACTTCAACTTTTGCTGTTTCCTCATGCCGCTTTTGCTTTCCCATTGGCACTGGGATGGTTTCAGTTAGCTCAACACTGGTGGAAAGCCAGTTTAATCTGCTGCTTTGGGACTTCTAAGGCATAAGAGAATTTCTAATTTCAGCTCCAAATAGCCAGCAAATTAAGTCTTTTTGACCTCCAGCTACTAGGCAACCTATTGGCAAACACCACAAATAAGAACAGTCTTGAATGTAAGATGAGGATGGCTCAAAGAGATGGAAGTTTACTTCAAAAGGTGTCTGGAAAAAAATGCATCAAGTAATATTTAAATGAGTGCTTTTTATTGTGACATTCTGGGGTGTARTACACATTTTTTCCCTACATTCTACAAGCAGCGAGTCAGCCATTCAAAAGAAAATTAACTTTATGTAGACTTGTCTTATAGTGGGATTTCTATAAACAGTTCAGCTTTTTAAGAGGCAAATCGTTAAGGCTTTTGCTCCAAGGTGCCTTATGTGTGTTTCAAAGATCCCACTCAGGGCTCTAACAGGGTGTGCTAATGACCAAACTCTAGCCCAAAATAAACATATGAAAGGCTCAGTGCTCAGTGTGTGATGTTTTATTTTGAGTCGAACAGCTGCACAGTTAAGCTAAAGCTGGAACATTTTACTGCAATAATTAAAAGCACCGAAAAACCCAGCAAGAGCACAGAATTGTATTCATAATTTCTCAAGTGATGGAGAAGTATTTTACCTTGTGAATGATAAAGAATTTCACACTCTCAAAGTAGCAGGAGGTAGAGAGAAAAAGCTTAATAACACTTGATAATACCACCAAGTTCCCTTCTTTGGAACACTTCAAACACAGATTCAGTGAGATCCCAATGGTTCTGGGCAAAAGCAAGTGTTTATGTACAAGCCTGCCTCCCTCCGTCCCTTACCTCTCACCTTTCACTGAGCTGTTTCTAGCAGCTGTTTGCCAATACATCAAATAAAGTGGGAATCTAGGCTCTTTTTCTGGGGGACTCCATGAACTAAGGTAAAGCAAAAAATGCCCACTGTCCATTTGGGATGTGACATTACCTAGAAGGTGGCTTTCTTCTACCCATCTCCCTGGCCTCCCAGGGCACAGGCACCTCCACAGCAGGCCTGCTCTAGTGTTTCTCTGCAGAGTGAGGTCACCAAGCCAAAAATAGGGAGCTGCTTTCAGCTTCTTTACCATCTCACTGCTASAGCAGCCATGCAGACAGCACATGTGCAACTCTGCATTTCCAGAGCTGCAGAAGTGCGTGGAGGTGGGGGGAACTGCAGGGCACGGTACAGCAGGGCTGTGTGTCACAAGGMAAAACTGCAAAGAGCAAGCCAGCAGCCTTGCCAATACTACAGCAGTTTTGGTCAATGATAATTTTGGTATCATTTGGTTCTTCATACACTTAGAATGGCAATATGAAACATGGCGACAGAARATCAAGCACCATTACCCCCGTCCTTTGTAAATCGGACAGTAATGATGACGTATGTACCTTTGCTGAGAAGAAAAGCAGAGGGCCTTCCCAGTGGCTTGCATCATTTTTCCTGCCCTTGTTTTATCCTGAGAACCCTGTGATCGAAGAAATTTTCCCAATTCATTTTCTTCCTGAGACAGGACTAATAAAAAATAAATGAGCGGTCAAACATGTGACTTAACAGGTCTCAAACAGTTTAACACTGGCCTAACATCAAATACAGTAACTCCAAACCCAAGCAGCACAGCAAAAAGATTAGTAATTTCAAGGAATTCCTGCATTTATGAAACAGAGGATCAGATTCACTTGAGACATCTGTGGATAAGTTTGCTATAATATAACAAGAACCACCAAGTTATGTCAGTGCTGAAAGGTAACCAGAGAAACATGCTATTTCTTTGTTGAATAAAAGAATAAGCTTGGTTTGATTATGTAAAGAGGAGCAAAAGAATGGCCTGATTAGAATATTTTTATTTATTTATTTATTATTCTTTGTGTAACACTCGGACTGCCCCAACTGACCTAAGTCAAGACACTTGCACTGAAGCCAATTTTAAGTTAAACTACCTAAAACTCATTTACTTGCTTGTCTCTTGCTCTCTCTTTTTTTATGCTCAGCTACAGAAGTGATTTTTAATATGAAGAATATAATTCTTTGTGTTAAATACATTTAACATCATTAATAAAAATATTTATTTTAAAAACATTTTTTAATTTCTGCTTGAAATATCTGAAATATTCCTTATAACAAAGTGTTTTCTAAACAAGAAAAGGATGAAAAATACTTATACACTGAGATCTTGGATACTTCCAAACGGGAGCCCTGGCTCATCAGACCTTGCATCCTCACATAAATTCTCAGGATGATCTTATCATCCTGAGTCTTCCAAACTGTCCATCTCTTACGGTATTTATTTCCTCCCGCTCTCAGTGGGGAAAAGACTCTCTATTGTAAGACTGCTTTTGACAGTCAAACCCAATGCAGATCCACAACACAGTCCATGTTGCAGGTTTATCTTTGCATTGGAGATTTCACTGTCTAGTGTGAAACATTTTGTGTGCTCAGTACATGGGATTATATTTATTTTCGATTTTTACCTCAGTTTTCTGAAACATTATCTCTGATTTGCTTCTTTGGACAAGAAGAATAGAGAAAATATGTGTAACATTAAACAAGAGAAAATAAAATGAAAAAGATGTCTCCAGTAAAACTGATTCTCTTTTCCTGGCCTGAAAGCAGAGCAACAGAGAATTCAAAAATATTGACTGGAAAAGACCTCTGGAGTTCATTTAATAGAGGCTCCATTTGAAACTTCCTAAATTATATTTCTGTTTCTCCCTAGTGACTATCCATTTGTTACAGACATTTATCAAATCCATTGCAASAGTGTGGATTACATAATTGCCAAACCAGTAACAAGTCCTACATTCTTCACAGCTTGACCTGATGAAAAACAACAGTAGAATTTCTAAGACAAAGCACTAGTGAATTTAGACAGGCTAAACAAGCAGAGAGGAGAGAAAAAAAAAAAAAAAAAACGCATAAAACCACACACACCAAAAGAGGGAAAAAACAACCAACCAAGCAGCCAATCAAACCTTAGCAATGCTTAGCAAACTTTTTTTCCCCTTTATTTTTTTTTGCCTATCACTGTACAATATCAAAAAAAAAATTTAAGAACTAGGAGACCTTTAATCATATAAGCAAGTTTGCCTTTAAAACTGTTTGCAAAGAAGTTTAACTAGGATGAAGCAGCAGCAGTGCCCCATTATTACCTTTATTTTTTTACCAGCTAAATGATTCCATATTATAGATCTCCTCTTAGGTACTATAGTTGATTATACTTACAACAAATCCTCTTTTGATAGAGTTCAATTGCTTTCAGCAACTCCATACACGTTCTCTGAATTGAGTGGAACAGCTAAAAGTGAAACACAGAAAATCTTGTGAAATCCTGTAAGCGTATGCAGGAAACACTGAATACTAAAATACAAGAAAGAGCTTGTCTTTAATCTTTTTTTGAAAAATTATTAGGGAGCTCTATTTCCTTCTAGAACAGTACRAGCAGTCTTTCCAGCTTGAAAAAAAAAATTGTATCAATTGTGCTTTCAATCAAAACTAGACAGAATAACCAAAGTCTACAAAAGGTAAAGACAGAAATATTTATTCAAAACAGGTGACAGTTGATCAAATAACATTTTTCCTATTTTAACAGATACCTTTGAAATATATGTAATGGCATTTACAAAATTGTTTCAAAGCAACCCTCACCCAGGAAAAAAAAAAAAAAAAGCTTTCAAAATGTCTATGAAGAATTTCACTGAAAGGTGTTAAATGTCATTACGCATTCTAGATTTTCAGGCCACAAAGTAGAGTGTCATAACCTTGCAAATASTTATGTCAACACAGAAAGTTACTGATTTTAACTGGACTTTTGACCGGCACATTTCTACCATGAAGTTCTGTGACCAAATTTATAAAGTAGTTGTTTTCAAAGTCCAAAAAAAAAGGCAACGGTTTTGACCACCCTTGGAGATTGTTTCCAGAGACAGTCAGAGAGGCAGCGACTCAGAGAAATTCCTCTAAAATCTCCTATCTCTAACTGAAACCTAAACTCCACTATTTCAAGCACTACACAGATACAAGCAAAATGGCCTGCTGGCACAGAACCTGTCATCCTTCACATCTGCTTGACTTCCTGCACATTTACACGGGCCTTGTCTGAACTGAGACTTGCAGTGAAGAAGTCCAACTGAAAATGTTTGTCTTTTTCTAGCTGGAAAACACATTTCCCTTTTTTCATCCCACCTGAGATAACAAAGCCTTYTTACTGATGAATCTGCAATACAAACAGCATGGAAGGAACTCAAGGATATGCTTTTAAATTACTGTTTCTGTTCCTCCAACTTGTTTTACGTCAACACACAGGACTTATACCCAATCACAAAGACCACAAAGCTGGAATCCTGCWGCAACTTCTCACTATCAAAGAGTATACTCCCCATGAATATTTTTTTTCCCAATTCAGAAAGCATATTAACTGTAAAACAACAAAAGAATGGTAATAATGTATTATTAAATGACATATACATATATATACACAAATACACACACAAATCACAGATGCTTGACAGAAATTAAAACGCTGATAAGATTAACAGTTACAGAATATGGATTGCATGGACATTACAAACCTCAAGTTTTGCATCCAGGTCTGCATCTGAAGCCACAACATGTTCATCTTCCTTTTTTCCTGTGACTTTTATAAGTGTTTGTTTTGTTTTCCAGTATTTCTGTTGCATTTTATTGACCACAGATTTTTCTTGGCTTTGAGCATATTGATCATAAAATTCCCTTGAATAACCACTAAAATATTAAGACAAAAATTACAATACTTCAACAGGATCCTTAAAAAGAGTCTAACAAGCTACATTAATACACTTCCATCAAGAATATAACATTTGTATAGACACATGTATTCTAACACATGCTTTTTTCATAATATATTAATAATAAAACTAAGAAAATTAGTGATATACTCCACGAGCATTCCCTATCTCACTTTGGAAATAATAAACTGCTTTTACAACTATTGCTGTGTAGTATTGCTGAATAATCAACTGTAATTCTTCCCAATACATGATAAAATGATTTATTGCCCACGCAATTAAAATATATTAAAAAATATTAAGAACGAATAGATCTAACTAATAGGACGACAGGCTAACAAGGACTAATAGACTTCTTTAAACACTCAGCTGAATTTCCATGCAATGTCAGCACTGCCAGGATTTCAAAGTTCTTTTAATGAACTACTACCTACTCTTTCTTTTTTAAAATTGGATAAAAGCAAAGAATAGCCCTCTCTTTTGAGCATGTAATGTACAAGATAGATTAATAGCTCATTTTCTTTTCCCACTGTGAGGATGTGCAAGAGTAAATGATCATATGCGCATAAAAAGTATTTTCTTCAATAACTACTTTCTACTGAGAGATGACAAGTATCCCTCTAATAAAACTAATAAACAGTGTAATCTAAATCTGCATATTTTGAAATATGCACAATCTGCATATTTCAAAATATTTAAACCATATGAAACATTGGAAATACAGTTTTACAATGTAAAACCGACCTCTTCTAGGAAGAATTATTTATTCCATTATTAATTTCTGTTAAAGACGATGCCCTTTCCTGTCTGTACACACTTGAAAAGCTGCAGTGGTTCTACAGGTCTTTAAAGTAAAAGCCTGTTGAAATCTACTGTAACAAATACAATTTTAAAAGGTGGAGTTTATTCAGGAAAAATAAAACCTCCATCYGTGGAGTGACAAACTGGGGTGCCTCGGTGAGACCCTGCTGCCTAGATGTCCTGCTCAGGAAACACAGTTGGGAGATGCCTCCTCCGAGGAGTCCTCAGACGTGGCCAACACGGTCAGCCATGAAACGCTGTGCCCATTCTGAAAGAAGCCATTGGCAAAACCTCCCCCACCAAAAAAGGTGCCTCTGCTCTACAGACTTGGTAGTGACAGAGCTTACCATCACGGGAAATGTGCTGGACAGTGATCTGTTAGTTGTGTTTGCTATTTTTCAATTAGAGAGAGTGGTTTGATCCCCACAGAGATAAGAAATTGAAATGGACGTCAGCAAGGACAAATGATTTAAAACACATGCATCATCTAACACACTTCTTGGCTTCTCCTCAAGCTTCAAAAGCAAAGATATGCAGCCAATTAAATTAATACTAAAAATCATTATTAAAGTTTTAATTTTATAAACTTCATCAACATTGAAACAGAGGGGTTTTGTTTGTGCTACAACACCGAATACGTAACATGCAAAACGCATCCCATTTAATGTGCAATCCTGCACAAACCATCACACATCCTCTGGCAACCGACGGCTGCTCAARCCAGGTGAGGCACGTACTGAACTGAGCACACGCTGATGCCTCTGTGAGAGACAGAACCTACAGCTTCTAATAATATGATTTACATCCCTGCCAGATCCCCCTGCATTATAAGAAAACATAACATATCAGAGTGGAACTCCAATAAAACTAACATGACTCTCAAAACAAGTCAGAATGAAAGAGATCACAAGGTGGAGTCAGGACTCCAGCTTATTAGCTAGCTGTGTGCTTTCCAGCCTGTGACAGCTGTGCAAACAACCCATATCGCAGGTCAGTGGTCAAATGAAGAGAACACCTTCATCCATTTGCTGTCAACCATCCTTAAAATCTACCTCAGTAGAGGTCACTAGAAATTCTGGGGGCTTGGTGAAAGGAAAAAAAAGTTGTTAATATGATGTTACAAAAACTGCCCTGGGATTAATACAGATTCTTGAATTGGAGACTAATAAACCAACTGGAAGAACAAGACGAATATAATTCTTTATCATAATAAACAAATCCRGCTTCTGACTTCACTTGGGAAAATTCCTGGCTCCTGTTTATGATCGAGATGATGAATAATTTAATCGTCACATTGTTAAAATATACAGTGAACAACCTTTACTGGTAGGCACTAGTCAATACCTTTTAAAATGAGTGTTTGGTCAAGCAGTACATTTAGGTGTTGTTAAACAACCAAAAATATAASGCATAACTAAAGAATTTGCTTTATTCTAATGTTGAGGACCATGGATATATCCTTTTAAATATGTCAGAGTTCCTCCATTTCTTTCTATTAAACAGGAAATTGATAACATATGCTATTTTTCCACCTAGTGAATTCACTTGTTTTTTCATTCTTTGATGATAACTTGGCAGGTTTTCTTTTTCTTTTTTTTTTTTTTTATACTTTTTAAACAGCATAGCTACCAGTGACTCATAAAAATACTTGATGCCAGAACATAATGCATGATACACTCTGGCAATGATAAATCAACACACCTAACACTATCAGGTCTTTAGAAAAAGAAAAATGATCAAGGTACTTACTACTTATGACCATCCATGCTTCTTTATTTTCTTCAGGCACTTAAATAAAATTAAAAAAACAAACCAGTTAAAACAAGCATCTTTAAAATACAGAACTGCCATTAGATACTAAAAAAACCCTCTCTGTCACATATAAAATGAGTATGTTGTAGCATCTTCCATGACACATGATGGCAGTTTACCAACCTGAGGACCTTTCCTCTCATRATACAGAATTCTCATTTAAACCCATGACAAACATACTTACGTGTTGCCTATCACTGTCCCTGCTCAAAGCTGTTTAAAGTAAAAAAAAAAAAAATAAATACATTTTTAGCTGAAATAAATACAGTAACTTTTGAGCAGGAAAGGCAAAATTTTCAGCGCTATCCTCGTCAGTTCATCTTTTTCCAAAACTTTACCCCCAACACAGCTCAAACGCAAAGAAAGTAAAACGCCCAGATAGGAAATTTAACCACCAGGGGATTTTTCTTAAAGGGATATTCAAGTCTACAAGGATAGATCGGGATTTAGAAGTTTTTGAACTTTAAGTTTTATAAGGCTGTATCTCCCTCTAAATTGGAAGGCCAAGTCTCTACAGTCAGTGCTGACCAGATGGCAGAAACGTCACTTTTCCACAGGCTACTGAGCACATTTCTTCCCAGGCCAAGTTTACAAACGAAGCCAGACTCTCCTTACAAAAAATGAGCAAGCGGCTTCTCTTCTTCTGCTTTCAGAGAGGCCTCTTCTCCAGCATAGAGAGAGAAAGGCTCCAACACGACCACAGAAGACGAAAATGAAGCTGCTCAGATCATGCTGCTGGAAAATGGCCTTGGGTGAGATCAGGAGCAGAAGCGACACAGAAAGCTGACTGAGGAAACACCCACTGAATAAGCAGCTAGGAAGCTACCAGTGCCAGGAGTGAATTTTGGCACTAGGCTGGGSCAGAAGGAAAGGGGCTGCCGTGGGGAGACAACTCTGGAAACGTGCCCAAGGAGCCGCTTCAAGACAGGAGGCCAGAGTGGTAAAGGGACTGGGACAGACTGCAGAAACTGGGACATGGGAATCAAACYGAGCACTTCTACAGAGAATCCCAACCATGAAACACACGCTTGGAGGCTGAGGCCAAATCCCAGATTTCTGATTCTAACCTCTTTGCTATCAAGCACYTGTGAGATTTCCTGGCCAAGCTGCACGAGAATGTAGCGCTGTGCTGGAAGATGAGCAGAGCACTCCACAAAACAGCTAATTCATAAAAATTTTCTGCTCTGATAAGCACTGCAGGAGAGACCAAGAGGAAATTGGTGACTGTCTCTTGAGTGGAGTTTAAAAATAAAGCCACCAAGCACATGCTGAAGCAGGAGGCCGAGAGAGCAACTCACGGCCTGACACGGGGTGCTGTAACATACAGCATCGGTCGCTGCTTTGCTGTAGTTTCCAGGGCCATAAGGCTCAGGCAACCTTCACTCCAGGATTTTCTATGCTTCTGTGCTCGACTTCACTGTTTTAACACTGGTCCTCCTTAATTCACTTGTGGGTGTGTGTGTGACAGAGTGATAAGAACACAGGATTTGGCCTGTATACACATCCATGACTCAATTATTCAGTGGTTTGACAAGACGCAAATAACAGCCTATCTAGATGAARTAACAGGCCTATTTACGTGGACAAAGCGTAACCACCAGCCCACGAGACAGGTACCTAAGGCACTGACCTTACAGTACAAATTCCCTGGACTCTCCTGCAGACCAGTGTATCTTAAAATAAAATAAACAAAATAAAAATGTCAGGATCACGATGAAAAGGCATTCTCATTTTGCAAGCCTAGCTCATAATCTTTCTTCCCAAACATCAGAACTTATATTTGGCTGCGGGATCTTTTGGCTATACTTGGCTCTATGTCCTACATAGTATCTCTGTGTCCAGAAGATGTTCTTTGTGTGTTTGTGCTTTCTTTTTTACCAATTCTAAGTGCCTTTGAGGAGAGTACCACGGCTACTAGAGCGGCACCTTCACCGTATGAAAATGAAAGGATCTACTCCTTGTCCTGTCGTTGCACATGAAGGCTACAGAGGGAAGAAGAAAACCAAGGTGGTCTTTTGCCTACACCATCTACTACAAGCAGTTCCTGGCATTTGGTATCACTCAAAACAGGCGAGAAGAGTGGCAGGTCCCAGAGGGCAACCAGTGTTATACACAAAAACCAGGCCAGACAGGCAATCAGGGTGCATGAACACAAGCGGTCCAGTTCTCAAGCTGAACCCCCTGCCCAGTTTTACTCAGCAATAYAAACCTAGATTTTGGTTCCTAGTGAGAACTGAAGGTCCACGAAGACCCCCAGCTTGGTAAGGGCTGGGAGTGAGTAAACAGAACGGTGGTTCTTTTTGTTGCTCAAAAAGAATCAGAGGGGCTGGTGACAGGTCTTGGGACACTTCCTCTGTAATTTCCACCAAAACAATTACCTGGATCCTGTTCATTTCAGATGCTGCTCAAGGAACTAGAATTTTCATAAAGAAACCAATTATGGCAGAAAAATGCCCGAGTTTCATATTTCTCAGTGACTGAGAACACTCTGAAAAGAAAGTCCAAATCTCCACTAAAATTATTCCATTCTTTCTGGTGTTAAACCAGGCCACAAATGTGTGCTCAGCCTGGGGTCTCACTGGTACCTGATGTCAAATCCATTCACACAGTACTTGCTTCAAGGTGGATGCACTTGTGCAAGACTGGCAGTACTACACACTAATTTGTATTTCATGTTTAAGCATTACCATCTACTGAAATGGAAATGACGTAATACCATGTAGATCTTAAAGTAAAAAACAGGTAGAAGAAAATGTACTATAGGAATATTTATTTGAATTGGATGTAGCTGATGTGTGCTACAAGAATTCTAATGACTATACTAGAGTTCAACTGCAAATGTATCCATTTTTAGGATGTTTCTAAAGAACATATTTCTAAGGAACATACTATTTCACTAGATGTGTCATATTCCTAACGTGATTTTCAGAAGATTCTCAGAACAGCTGACTGATCTTAAGGACAATCTCTCTGAAACACATGAATAGGCCATTTCAATGTGCAGAAGCTTGAGTACCACTGGTAGTCTGTGAGTATATCCAGTAAAGAGTGACTAAATTGGGAGGTATTTAAACCATCTGGGTATACCTCTGATTGTCATGGCAATTTAGGGAGATGCCTCATGACTGGAAAAAGGCAAATCAAAGAAAGGAAGAAGGCTGAGGAACTACGGCCTTACTGGCCTTGCCTCAGGACCTGAATGGATCACAAAGAAAGTCCTTCTGGAGAGCTACGAAAGACAAGACGTTGACTGGGAACTGGCAGCATGGATTTACCAAGGGATTTACCATGAATTTTCGCAACTGCCTAACCTGGTTAAGTTCTACAAAGAGATGACTGGCTCTGGTGGTTAAGGGGAGGTGGTGGATGTCACATGCCTTGACTTTGGCGAGGCCTTTGTCAGAGTTTTCTACTATATCGTCAGGCACCTATAGGACTATAGCTGGAATGCTGTCCAGTTTTAGGCTCCTTGTACAACAAAAACACTGGCACATTGGTGCGGGATCAGCAGTCAGTGTCTGGAGACTGTAACATAAAAAAAGAGAGGCTCAGTGAACTGGGTTTGTCAGAAAACCAGATTCGTAATTCCCATCTTCCTGCCGCCTACAACTACTTAATGCAAGGGTGTAGAAAAGACAGTCAAACTATTCTCACAGGCGCACMCAGGAAGGGCAAGAGGCCACAGACACAAGCCAGAACACATGGAATTCTAACTGAAAGTAAGGAAAAAGTTTCACCATGAAGGTGGTCACTGAAACAAACTGCCCAGGAAAGCTGTGGAATCTCTGTCCTTGGAGACACTCAGGAGTCAGCTGGATACAACCGTAAGCAGCTTGTTCGAACTGGACCTGCTCTGAGCAGGAGGTCAGATAAGTGACCTCCATGGGTCCCTTCCAACCAAATTACTCTGAAAATTTGTACTATGTCAAAAGATGATGATACTGGAAAGGAGCAAGTTTGCTGACACCACTGTGTTGCTGCAGAAAACTTTCCACAACAATGGTTTATYATAATGGATATTTATAATAATGATTATAATGGATATTTCATTTTTTTCCCAGATTTTAGTGGTGCTATTGATTTTCACTTGTACCTGAAAACACTTTTCAGCATTAAGAGAGCTTTTGTTCTTCAGGTGTTGCTATGTGCATCACTATGGAAAATTGTCTTTGTGGTCATCTTAAACCTGTGATGGGGCTGGAATTCATCTATCTTTTTTTGTGATTCCTAATTTCATGTATTACTACTGCCCAGTCCAARTCCAGAAACCAGAGAACATTAAAATATTGGTTCATCTGTGAAAAAGGAAATTATTAAAAACAGCTGGGATACCTGAAAGCAGTAAGTATTTTCAAGAAATGCCAAAGTTAAGGAATTCAAGTTACAAACGAGATGCACTAATAAACAAGGATTGGAAACACTCTGACAAGTAACAAGGAGTTATAAGGAAGGCTTCAAAACCATACGACATAAAAAAACCCTACAGTCAGTAAACACAGGCCTTGAGGTTGCAGAAAGAGGGCTAAGAGTGAGCAGATAARCACTGACTATTTTAGCTATTGGACTCTGTTACACTTCTGAAGAATGAGGATGAATATCCTGAAGAGAAATAACCACAGTTGTCCTTTGCCAAGCCTGACTACAATGCAGGCACATGATGCTAACTACAGTCCACTTGCTGTGAAAATCACACTCACACTGACAGGCCACCTTTATCCTGGCTAACAAAAGGTAGGGATACTCCAGGTAAGACTATGCTACAGTAAGGTAAGACGATGCTACAGAGCACAGCAGGGAAAAGCAGTGCTAGACTCAAGGAAAAGCAGTGCTAGACTCAAGGAAAAGCAGTGCTAGACTCAAGTATGTTGTGTGCAGATCTGTGTCGATTACTGCAAAGCAAGTGGTGAAGTTGAGCCTTGCTGGAGAGGTTTGCACAGTCTGGTGTTAGAAACAGCACAGCTGAACTCAGGCAGGA